AAAAAAAAAAAAAAAAAGATACCTATTGTTCTAGAACTTTAGTCATGCCCAAGGAATTTTCATTGAGACGCACAGGTCTAGGAGAAGCCAGAGATCCTAACTAATTCCAGAAAAGTCGTTACTTAATTCCTATCCAGTTTCAAATTATTAGGGTTTCTCAGAGTTGGTTATACTTTTTGAATTAAAAGCAGGCCCTTTTTTTCTCTTCTTCATTAGAGGGTCTTGATTAGCCAGAATCAAATATGCAATGACAACAGGTTCTCAAGAACCACAGTGTAAAGGTAAAGGCTGTACTACCAGGGTGATTGTGGAAAGGAAGGGTAGGGGGTGAGAATGTGGATATCTCCTAAATACTTGTTCCTATAGCACCATAACTGAGCAAGAGCTTGGTCACTCATTGCTTATATGATACACATGTATGGTCATTGTGTTAGGATTCCAAGGCCCTTGCCGAGTATCAGAATATTATAGGTAGATTCTATGATTTTAAAGATAGATTCCCTCAATTAACTTAGATTTATAATTTTTACTAAGTATAATGTTGAGTTTTGCAACTGTTGTATATTCAAGAAAAAATGCAGTTAAAGCAAAACAAAGAAACTAACAACAACGAAGTCCAATTTGACCTATGATTTTAATCGCACCATCTGGGGGAATGTACTGTTCATATCTTTGTGTAGGTTAATGGGCTTTTTTTAAACAGAGATTCAAATTATCTTGGGGCCCTACTTAAACCATCCTGCTAAATCATAATATAGGCAAGGGAAAGCTTATTTCTGATTTGAATTTCAGAATCGAGGAATACTCTTCTTCATCAGAGAATCTTTGCAAAGACACTTCACTATGCAAAACCCTGTGGAACAGATTTTTTAATGTATATTTAAATCAAAAGATCAAGTTAATGTATCCATTAGGTTACATGGAATAGGTTCCATGGCACCCAGCATAATGGCCTAAGTATAGTGATTATTAGTCAATAAATGCCTATTAAATCAAGTCAGATGAAAATTTCAATATTTTCCACATATGATATACTATATTAAAAAAAAAAAGCATTTTCTGTTGTCTCTATAGTTGTGAGCTTAAATGAGATGCTTCCCATGACCCCTGCTACTAAAACAACTAAGTGTAAGAATGAGCACTGCAGTGGAAGGGGCAGTGTTTTAGCATTCTTGAAAACCAGCCTAGTTGGTGTCTGTGTGCGGCTTCCCGGGGGGAGTGTGTTGATAGTGATATTCAGCAGTGATGTATGCAGCACTTTTTCTAGGATGAGTTCACAAACTTAATTGACAGGCCCCATATGTATACAAAGAGTGGATGATAAAGGAAGTATAGTAGAATGTTCTCCTTAGGAAAATCCAGGTGAAGAACATTCAGAAATTCTCTGAACTATCCTTAGATCCTTATCTAGATCTCCTAAGGTAGATCTAGAACTACCTTAAAAATCAAAATGTTTTATAACAAGGAAAAGAAAAAAAAGAAAAACAGCGTAGTTGTGTAACATTTGTTGGGCAAAATAAGCAGACCAGTATTCTTTGGAAAGAAAGAACAGAATTTTCATGTTAAATTAACCACTAGGGGGAACCGCATGAATATAACAGATATTGACATTGCAAAGGAAAGTTAATTACAAAATTTTTATTAGCATGTTAGAATCGAAAGAAAATCAATTTTGCAGTTAAAGGAAAAATCCCAATTCATGAAGAATCTAACAAAGATGGCTTTAAACAAGTAGTGTGTTAGGGATTGGTGTCAAGAAAAAAATGGTTTGAGTTTTAGAGCTAGTAATATTATTACTACGGTAGACCCCATACACACGCGTTATGAAATCAAAGTATTTTAGGGCGATATAGATTTCTTCTTTGAAAGAGATCCAATTCCTTCCCAAGAGGATGAAGAGATATCACTTTCATAAGTCCATATAAGAAGAATTAAAAGGGAATAGCAGACACACCAATACCAATCTCTATATAACTCAAGCTAAGCCTTATTTTTAAACTAAAAAAAATAAAATTCAGTTTAGGGTTCTATCAAGTTTTTGTCCCAGTACTTTTAATTCTTTATATTCTGTAACTTAAAATACAATGTTAGGAGCTGCAACAAGCCTGCCGAAGTCTACAGTGACTTAGATTGCCTGGGTCAAAGGAAAGAATGCCAATTATAAAGGAAACTGGAACATTGATTTCATAAAACTGATCCTTTCCTCCTATTCTCTATTACCTTTGCTACATGTTCCCCAGTCATGTCCATAGCTCTTATACTTTCATTATCTGTCACAACAATACATGCCTCTTGCTCTGAATAAAGCATTCTATTGAAAGTCAAGGGACTTTCAAACCAGATTCCGGTAGACACACCTGGCTGCAGCCAGCATTTAATTCAATCTACCACATTTTTTTTTAAATTTCAGATTAATATAAGGGTACAAATGATTGGGTTACATGGTTTGCATTTGTGAGGGAGCATCTGAGTTGTAGCTGCGTCCTTCACCCAGGAGGTGTGCCATGTGCCCCTACATTGACCTGTTATGCAGGAGCTTACTGAGTCTCCTCTCACCTTGCCTCTTCACTCACTTACACTCATTTGTATTTTTCCTCTCATGTGGGCCTGTAGTTGTTCATCCGCTAGTTTCAAATTAGGACTAACTACATAGGGGCGCTTGCTTTTCCATTCTTGAGATAATTTTATCAAGGAGGATGTTCTTTAACTCCATCCAGGCAAATAAAAAATAATGTAAAGTTTCCATCTTTTTATAGCTAAATAGTATTCCATGGAATACATATACCACAGTTTATTAATCTATCCTTGGGTTGATGGGTGCTTGGGTTGTGGTGCTATAAATGGTCGAGTGCAAAAGTCCTTGTGATAAAATGATCCTTTGTCTTCTGGGTGGACGCCGACTAGGATCAAACGGAAGGTCTATGTCAATCTACCACTTCTGACTACGCTCTTTACTGATGCTCTAGATTGGTAATCTAAGGACTACCAATCTTGTTATTTTCTTCTTTTATTCTTCTAAGAAAATGCCAAAGCAATTGAAAAAAAATACAGTTTTCTTTGAAATGAAGACTCCTAAAGTTTCTGAATAAGTAGTTGAGCCTTTAGTTTTTTCCCACAATTACCAGTACATCTGGTCCACACTCTTATGCCTTACGGTATGATAGAAAAGTGGACTTCAGCATTTCTAAACGATGTACTGTGTTCCCCCAGCACGTGGTAGGCTATTTATTAGACTAGAAACCTCATTGTGGCCGGTGTTAGTCAGTTTTTCTTCATCTTTTTTTATTTTATTTTTTTTAGAATCAATATGGAAAAATAAACAAAGCTTAAGATGAAATGGTCTGATGAACTATAATTGAATTAGAAAAAAAAAATCAGTCTCTTTCAAATTCCAAGCCTTATATTAAAACTTATGTAGAAGCCTCTTGGGAAACCCATCCAATGCAGACATGGCTGAGTCCAGAGTATTAGAAAACAACGCAGGCAGGTGTCAGATTAATTCCTTGAAGAATTAATAGTAGGAATAAAAATACTTGACCTGATGGGTGCTGTAAGGATCAGCAACATTTCATAAAAAGCATGGATCATACTGTAAGCACTCAAAAAATGGTACTATTTTTGCTTAGGTGTAGAACTTTTTACTTTAAAATTTTTGATTTGCAAACAATATTTATAAATATTGTTTTTTTTTAAAAAAAAGTTTAGCCTATAGGCAAGTAAATAGTTTTAAAATATTTTTCTATGAGCTATAACTACCAAGTGTGAGAGCAGACGCGAGCGTAAAGTCAGCATTATAATCCTGATGTGATAAACGAGAAAATTAAATCACCCTGAAGTTAAGGGGGTTGTCCAGAATGTTCCATCTGGCGGTAGTTACTACTTTCCAATTCCTTTTAAAGACCTGTGATTTAGATACTATAAAATACCTGCCCCTGGGAGGAGACAGAATCTAAAGCGCATTTTTATATGGAGAGTACCACAAGGTGCAATACAAGATGCTTTGCGTAAGTAACTTTACCGTGTCGGGCGGCATCCTCTGTGGACATGTTAACTCGCAGGAGGAAATTATTCAGGCTGTTGAGGTAAGCTGGAAGGGAATGATAGCCTTCTGGGTCATACCATACCTGTTAAATTCCAAGAAGGTAAGATCAATATTGCATTCAAGTCAACTAGGCTATCTTAAAATCTCACAGACTGCCTTATGTATATTTAAAATAAGAGCACCAATTTTCTAATAATTTATTTTCTCTTAAGACAATCATAAACTACTCCCTAGAGTGTTGCTCTCAGGCCTACGTTTCAGTGTAGAGCTGGGCAGAGGTTGGGAAGGCAACCTCTAGCACCGTTAGTTGGTGAGCACCTCCTCTATCGGTAAAACCTGAAATAAACTGGAGAAAACATTATTATCCATCTCTGTGGGGGCCCCACGGTGATTCTGAACCTTGAACTATGGTATCCTGGCTTTCAATAATAGTGATAAAAACAAATGGCAGAGAGATGAAACTGGAAAAAGAAAGAAAATACATACACAAGCATCATGTCCTCAGCAGCAAGACTGGTGACCTTGAAATTCCTCTATTGGTTTCTATTCCTAATCCCGACCCACAAGACAGTGAATTCCTTCACCAACCATGTCAGAAACAGAGGGGTTTAAAATATTGAGCTGCTTCAGTTCAAGAAACCCAGTTGAAAATTCAAAATTACAAATTTGATTTATAAAGTAAATTATTTTACATTAGAAACTCCCATGCTTATGCAAGAGTATTTACTATGTGGAGAGAGGGAGCTGAGGGAGCTCCCCCGTATTACTTTTTACTTTCTACATGACCTGAAAATCGCCTAAATTAGGCCTGATGAGATCTATCTCACAGATGCTGTGAGGGGTGAACTTAGGTAGTTTGTGTAATAGGTGATACTGGAACGTGCCATATAAAAGTCACTAAATGAATATGCATTTCTCCCCATTCCCCAAGACTGTACAGGTCTCTTACTACCAAACAAGAAGACGTAAAGGACAATTTAAATCTCTAAGGCTACCATTGGCCATGTGGGTAATCATATATGTCTGATTCTGTGATTCTAGCTTATTTCTGATATGATCTACATTTAAAAAACAAACAAATAGGATTATTTATCCCCATTCAGTTCAGTTAGGTTTCTAGATTCCTCCGAAACCAAGGCTAAACATACATATTTCCCTTTTCTAAAGAGACATACACACAAAGAAAAATGCATGAAACACAAATATATAATGTTACAGAACTTTACAAAGGGCGTACACCCATTAAACCTTGCACAGGTTGAGAAATTAAAATGGCCAGTATCCAGAACACCTTTGCCCTGACTCTCTGTCTCTTTTAAAATTACAATACTATCCCTTTCCCCTAAACAATATGGTTGAGTTTTGCCTACTCTCCAAGTTCACAGTAAATACAGTCATAGTCTCTGCATTCATTATTGTCTATTCCTTCGTTTACTAATCATGTTTGGGAAATTTCACTTGCTTGTTATGTGGAGCTGACTTTATTCATTTTTGTTGCTGAAAGTTCAATTGGATGAATCTGAAACAACTTACCCTATTACACCTGGGCCTTCTGGGTTGTGTTTTGTCTATTATGGGAAATACTACTATGTACACTTCTGTACGTGTGTTCTGGGGCTCTGTGTGTGCGTTTCCCTGGGGTAGAGACCCAGGATCAGAACAATAGTGCTATGCGCTATGCATAAAGCCAAATTGTACCCACGGTTTGTTTTTACATGAAAATGCTCGAACCTATCAACTTCACTTTCTCATTTTTAGGACATACCAGAAGAGAGATCATAATTTACCTTGGCAAGTGTTCTGTTGGCAGGAATCGGTGTTATATCAAACTGAAGGTCTTTAGTCAAAGGCAGCCCAAAACTCCAACCTCCATATCTACGGAGAGTAATAAAATTTACATTTGTTTTAGTGGAGAAAATCTTCATATGTAGATCTAAAATAATTAACTAAGAGCCCCTTGTCTTTTTTTTTTCTTTCCATTAGGAACACGTTTACAGTATAAAGTAAATACTGACTGATAAATATTTTATCTTCATATTGATTCCCTTTCCATATTTTAATCTCAAGTGTGCACTACTGTATCCAGAGGCAATAATAAGTCTTTCTAAACAATTGTATATGCGTGGCAGTCATCCTGAAAATAAGTGACATAGAATGTAATCAACTCCTCCATCTTAGCTGGCCAAGGCATCGTCTCAAAAATTTCAGTAAGTTAGTCCTTAAAATGTTTTTTAGATAACTAATACTGAAGTGATATATTGTCAGTCCATATCTTTTTTTTCAAATGGCTCAATTTCTTTTATAAGCCTATTTTCCCCCTTAGCTTGTCCCCTGGTGCTGTATTTTTTCTCTGGTGTTTGAAGGTGAGTTGGATTTATTTCACTACTTGGTCAGTTCATGGTCTCCTGAAAATAAAAAGTTGGTTTTAAAAATCTAAGTCATGATTTTAAGACTAAATTAATTTAAATGTCTACCAAATTAAAGTCAGGTTAAATAAATAATGATGCAGTCCCATTAGAGCAGTGGTTCTCAACCTGTGGGTCGCAACCTGGGGGTCTCCTGCATATCAGATATTTATATTGCGATTCATAACAGTAGCAAAATTATGTTAGTAATTAGTAATTAGTTAGTTATGAAGTAGCAATGAAAATAATTTCATGGTTGGGGGTCACCACAACATGAGGAACTGTATTAAAGGGTCGCAGCATTAGGAAGGTTGAGAACCACTGCATTAGAGTCATTTTCTGACTATCATCATATATCTGATGCTATAGAGCTATATTTTTTGACATGCAATACTATTGTATTAAAGTATTCACTTTTAAAAAATAAAGTCAGCTTTTAAAACTGTTTATACTAAAATCTACTTTGTTAAAAATATTTATGTGTATATTTGTGACAAGAAAATTTCTGGAGAAATTCATATATAACCTAAGATATCAATAGTGGCATATCTGAGTAAAGAACTTATTCTTCTTTGTGCTCATCTGTAGTTTCTAATTATTTTACAGTGAGTGTCAAATCATTTATATATACTGAGAAACAAAGGAGGGAAGAGATGGAGAAAGGAGAAAATGGTCCGACTGCAAGCTTATCAGCTTTACATCCGTCATCAATGCTTAGATGGAGCCGGTACAAGCTCATGCCTGGAAACTCCTGGACACATTTTGTCCACCTGCAGGTATCACATTCTAAGTTTCCAGAACTCAGACTGGAACTAAGGCCTAGTGTCACCAAAAGTCATGCCTTATAACTCTGAGCTGGCATAATCCAGTCAATAAGTTCTTTTTTGCCTCAAGAAAAAAAATATATAGGTACCAATTTAAGAATGCATTTTGAGGCCTGGAAAAAACAATGCTTTTCAGTTTGCTCAAATAAATCTTACTTTAGACTTGATACTTAATATTTCAATACATAAGGCTGCTGAAATCAGACAGAGAATGTAACCACGTAAAATACGAACAATAGAGATTTGCATCTCTCATGTCTATTGTCTCAAGTTTAGGAGGCACTTGTCATTACATTTAGAAAGCAATTATATATGTTAAAAACAGAATATGTTACCTTTTTTGGACAAACTCGTTAGCAGTCGATATAAGATAATTTTCCAAACGGTGTCCTGTGAGGTTATAAATTACTTGGGAGGAGTAAGTTCTTCTATGAGGTGGGGAATAGCTAAATTTAGGGCATTCCTGGAAAATAAAGTTTAAAAATTAAGGTTTTTTCCCCTGGACAATGCTGTGCAAGTTAAATCACAACGTCAGGGAGCTTCAGTTTCACAATCTGTCTATTCCTGCATCTGGGAGAGAGTGATAAGACTGTCCTTTGACTTTATAAGAGCTTTGAAAAACAGGTTATCTTGTCTATGCCAAGAAATTAGAACAAATAGTTGTTATTTATGTAGAGCATATATACATGTGTTCAGGACTCACTTAAACCAACAAAGAACACCAGCTAATAAGTGTGTGATATTCTTTCCCTGTACTGACAAGCTTTATTTGTCTGGAGAATCACCTTAAATATTAAAATGACTCAAAATTCCCTCAATAATTCACAGCTAAGGGAAAAAAAATGTTTGCCCCCCAAATGGAAATGATAACGTGAATTGACGTGACTTTTCTAGGGACTGAGAGCAATGAATGAAAAGTTCATGCTATGTCAGTTTTAGGTACATAATCTAGGAGTCAGAGCTTAGTTACACATATTACTAGTGTATGTATATATACACACACAAATATATATATATATGTTCATATATAAACTCTTAGTTTGAAATAATTTTAGATTTATAGAAAAGTCACAAGAGCACAAAGAGCCCCTGTATACCCCTAGCTACTTTTCCCTGGTGACACGTCACATCACCACGTACGTTTGTTTACACCTTTAGTGTTAACATTTATTTTTATGCTTGTAGCTTTCTGCACTTCTACTAACTTATTTTTTAGTGTAGCTAAAAAGCTAACTTCATGCTCCATTGCCATGAAGTTTAGTTGGGGAAGTCTAGCGGTTTTCCATAGCCTCACTTATGTGTCCCAGAGACATAAAGTTCTAGGTTATTTTTCCAAAAATCAGTGCAGAATTTTATCTTACATCAAGTTGTATCAGCTTGAGGATCACATTTCGGAGTGGTGCTAGTCTCACAAATACTATATGTGTACAGTGAAATATTTTTATTAAATGATACTATGCACAGATAAATGCACATGAATTATAAATGTACTTGCTGATGAATTTTGACAAACTCAACATATCTGTATAACCAACCAAGTCAGGAACAGCAATACCAGTGCTGCAAAGCTACTTCATCACATTCCCCTCAACACTCCTAAAGTAACAGACCCAGATTAGTTTTGAATACTTTTTATTTTAATTATTAGTTTTCACGATGGAGTCTTGCTTTGTCACCCAGGCTGGAGTGCAGTGTCAAGGTCATGGCTACCATAGCCTTGAACTCCTGGGCTCGAAACGAGCCTCCCAAGTAGCTAAGACTCTAGGTGTAGGACACCATGTCCAGCTAATTTTTAAGTTACTTTTAAAATAGAGATGGGGGTCTTGCTATGTTCCCAAGCTGGTCTCAAACTCATGTTCTCAAGCAATCCTCCTGCCTCGGCCTCCCAAAGTGTTTGTATCATAGGCAGGAGCCACTGTGACCTATTTCCATATCTTACGTAAATAGAATAACATATCCAATCTTGTGTCTGGCACTTTTCACTCATCCTTATGTTTGTGCGTATCTGCCATCTGATGAGTATAGTTGTAGGTCACTCTCGCCTTGCTGTATCCGACTTCTCCATTTTACAGCTGGTGGCACCATTCACATTTCTGATGAGCATGTATTAGAAGTGGAATTACAGGTCCCACAGGTATGCATATTTTCAGTATTGCTATATCTTAAGTGGTTTTAATATTAGTTTTTTATTTATTTATTTTTTTGAGACAGAGTTTCATTCTGTCTTCTTGGGTAACAGCTCACAGCAACCTCAGTTTCTTGGGCTCAAGTGGTCCTCTTGCCTCAGCCTCCCAAGTAGCTAGGACTACAGATGCCCACCATAACACCTGGCTAGTTTTTCTATTTTTATTAGAAACAGGGTCTCACTCCTGCTCAGTGTGGTCTGGAACTCCTGATCTTAGGCGATCCACCCGACTCGGCCTCCCAGGGTCTTGGGATTACAGGCATGAGCTGCTGCACTGGGCTGCCAAGCAGGTTTAAAAACTGTATCAGCCGGGCACAGTGGCTCACACCTGTAATCCTAGTACTCTGGGAGGCCAAAGTTGGTGGATTGCTTGAGCTCATGAGTTCAAGACCAACCTGAGCAAAAGCAAGACCCCATCTCCACTAAAAACAGAAAATCTGAGGCAAGAGGATCTCTTGAGCCTACGAGTTTGAGGTTGCTGTGAGTTGTGGTACCACAGCACTCTACCCAGGGTGACAGCTTGAGACTCTGTCTCAAAAAAATAAAAACAAAAACAGAAACTGTTTATATGAAATTAAATTACCATCAGCTGATTAGGAGGGTTCTGGTGGCTCTTCATCTTTGCCAACACATGGGATTTGTCTCTTTCAGCTCAGTCATTCTGATGAGCATGGAGTGATATAGTTTTACCTTTGACCTATTTATTGGCCATTTGTATATATCTTTGTGAGGTGTCTCTTCATGTCCTTTGTTAATTTTCCTATATCTGCACATGTAGTAATCTGCAGGAGTTCTTTACAGACATGCCCTGGATGCGAGTCCTTTACTGGGTATTGTGAATATTGTCTTTCAATCTGTGGATTTCCCTTTAACTTTTTTAATCTTTTGATGTACTGGCAGTATAATTTTTTTTTCCTTTCAAGAAACTTGGACCTTTACTTGATCCATAGTACATGTCCAATGTACAGACTTCAGTTTTGCAGAGTGAACTCACTGGTATTAAACAATTAGAAATAGATCTGGGGAAGTTAATGAAATGATAAAGTAGGTTGAGAAACTTATAAATGTATTGGACTTTTAAATTACTAAAAATTATTCAGATTTGAATTTAAAATATTAGTTGATTAACTTTTACTGTAAACTAAAGAATATACATGAAGAATTCCAGAATTGAACTAAATTAGATGAGAGATTAAAAAATTCTGAATACTAGGTAAGACTAATCTTTAAACATGCAAGGATTATAAAAGTTCCCGGTTGGGTCCCAGCTCTTATTGTTTGTAACTATCTTGCATGAGAACTCCAACATGAGTTGCGTTTGCCGAACCTATTTTCATTTTAAAATATTGTGTCAAGACAGTTCAGGATACAACCATATGTCATTCTGAAGAAAATATTGCTTGATTCCTTTCATGAGAAAGTAAATTGACAGTATAGTAACTCTTTAACAATCTTTAACTTCCCTAGTGAATTTGGCTCTCTGAAAAGCTTGGTGAATTAATAGGCTTAGAAAGCAAAGGTCTGTATCTTTAGAACACAGAGTAAGTGATAGATAATTTTTTCTATTTCTTTCAGGAAATGATTTTTACTGTAGCCCATAGCCTGGAGGTGCTGCTTAGAGACATTGGTAGCTCTGTTCTAGACTTCCTGGCTGACCACTGCAAGGGCAGTTTCACTGAACTTTCAAATGTGACAGCTGTGGTGGCATTTTTTCAGGTGAAAAATAGAGCTTTCTAGATAGCAATGAATTGAGACCAAAAAACTTCACTTTTAGTTGGGTCTGTACAAAGACCATGAATGAATCACCTACCTTTGGATATTTGTCCTAAGATGGATTTTAAGAAGTGACCTGAGGTTCAGAGTCAATATTTTTGAACTTCCCAGTCCATATCTCTGAGCTACCACCTTCCATAAAATGAAATCATATGGACAATTTGGTAAACTAGATAGATCTTCAAGTTGCAATATTTATTCCCCCCCCTTTTTTTTTCCTATTTCACTAAAACTGAATTCCATTGTACCTGGACATTTTCTGAGCAGGAACAAACACCAAAATTAGTGATAGGTTCTCCACTGGTGTTCCATTTTCCCAGACTGCCTTTCTTTAAACACAGTCTGCAAGAAAAAAAAAAAAGACATTGATGTTAAGCACGTGTGTTCTCACGTTTATGTACCAGTATACAAAACAATCGATATTAAATTCAGCTGTGTAGTCCTAGGTACAAATTTCTGATTTTTCATAGCATGAATATACATTGTATTACTGTTTTCAAGTGATTCGACATTTTGTGGTGGGGGATTGAGGGAAAGCATTTTTTATTCAATAATGGTGAGACCAAATCTCATTGAATGGTCTGACTGTATCGGGATGGGGCTTTTTGTCCCCTTTATTCTCTTTGCTCTTTTCAGCCTCTCTTCTGACAAGAAGGAAACACTTCAGCATAATAATGCACCAAGGTCAGGTGTACATGTATTTATGTGTGATCATGGAAGTTTGAATAAGCCACATTTCATACAGCAAACCCATGGGAATTGAAGTGAGAAGACTTGGGTCTCAGCTTTAGCTACAGAATTTACAATCTAGGTTTCTTTAGACAAGTATCTTATATGAGCCTCAGTTTCTTTAGCTATCAAATGGGGTTAATAACTTACAAGATGTGATTGATAAATGACTATACATATATATAAAAGAACTGTACAAATCATGAGACAGCGAATGTTCATCATTACAGTTGAGCCAGCTAAGGAACGAGCTGAAGGAAACAGATGAAATCTGTCAAAATGGAGACTTCTATAGGGCTGTGGCCTCTTCCAGCCAAATAACACACGTTTGCACACACAGCCCCACATACACACCTACACACACAAATACTGCAATGTTGAAAACAAACAAAAAGCAAGAACCGCTTACGGATTACTGGTGTTCAGACACACGTTGTCAATGCCGGGGAAGTTCCACATTGCTGAGACCAGTGACTTTGTGTTTGGATGAGAATTCCTGAAATGTTACAGAAGAGAAACAATTCGTGACTCTGCCACTAGCCGCCATGTTAAACTCATGCTCACAAATAATTCGAAGAGACTAAATGTGTTGTTTGTACAGATATTTTCTTAAAAATCTAAGGAGGATGCTGTCTCAGGAAATGAAGAGCTATCCCAGGAAAACTATGCACATGCCCCTATTCTGCCGCTTTATTACTCTAAACGTGCATTTAGTGATCATCTATTGTATAAATTACATATTACACAGAATTCTGACAAAGTATGCAATATTTGTAAGGTGAATAAAAAGCTCCTTTCTCTATAGTAAAACAGGTTGGCAAGGCACCCATAACCTGGCTTTCTCGATTACAGTTTAGTCATTAAAAAGCAAATAACCTACTACAACTTTATTTTTAGGAGAATGCAAGAAACTCTTAAGAAGCTATTTGTTGGCAATAGAAGTAACATATTGCAATACATCAAACTGTTCCTTCCTTTAGCAGAATCAGGTAGTGTGGGCCCTAAGTTCTCTGTTTTTCAGTATTCCACAGGATTCATTAGGTCCAACCACACTCTCAGAAGCTTTTGGGAAACATTAAGTTAGCGGAAAGAAACTTACGCATAGAAGGCTGTCTGTTCGGCGGTGCCATAAAGAGAGGGGGAGATCTCGATCTCTGGATAACTGTTGCTGGAATCTCTTAACGTGCCAAGGCCCATGGCCGTGGTCACAAAGACGATGGGGAGGATCACCTGGGCAATGAAGCCTTTCCAGTTCCTGCGGGTGTGGTGGAATCTCTTGATGAGTATGGCCAGTATCTTCTTCAGTAACAGCCCCAAACCATCCAACCGCTCTCCTCTTGTCAGGATTTTGTCTAATGATGAAAGAGAGATTTGATATCATTCAATGATTATATGGTTTTTCAAAACTCTATTTTGCCACTAGAGTTCCAAAAAAGAACTCATTGGAAAAATGTCTCTCTCCTACCCCCTCTTTGAAATGCTTTTCAGATGCCAAGAAATATTCCATGGCTTCTGAGTCAGAGCACCTAAGGAGACATAAAGCATAGCTTCCTCAGTAGAGATTTGTGGCCAATAATTTCAGACCTCTGTACCAGAGACTTCACAACAGACATCCTTCAATCACTATCTTTTGAACCCCCTCTAAAAACAGGTTCACAGATAGCATTCTCTGCAAAGGCCTGCCACCAAGCAAGCCTCCATATATGATAAGATGATGGTATTCCTCAACACTGTGTATACTTTAAATTTTCCATCACAAATTATGCAGCACAAAACTCATGATCTTCATTTAGCTGATAAGGAAAAATACAAAGCTGCTTAATTTAAAATGAATTCCAATTAAACACAGTGAACCAGTTTAAATGCAAACGCATATCTCCACAAAAGGGAATTGTAGAAGGAGCTGAATGTTTTGAGTTAATTAGTATGCTTTTCTGTTTCTTGAGAAATTACATGTGGATGACTTACAGGTGTATCAAATGGAATAAATGTGCTTTCTGAAAGATAATGTCAATGAAGGGAACATTTTGACTGAAGAATAGTTTCAAATTATGAGACAAATAGCATTTACTTCCTAAAACAGATGACCATTTTCTAACCAAAGTTCTCAAATCCACGGACTCTATAATTGTATTCCCCAAAAGATGATAGATGAGGAATACGGCAGAGGACACAGTCACTTCAAGTTCCGAAATTATACGAACATCAGAGATTATCATTTCTGAGTTTTAAAGCCAAGCAAATGTTTAATTAAAAGTTCTGTTCCTAGAGATTTTTCCTAATTTAAGCAAACTGTTGAAATGACTACTCCATAATTTATATATCACTTTACTATATGATTTCTTAAGTAAATAGTGTTTCCAGAGATATAAATTAACTGTCAGAAAGAGAATAAGTGACAATAAAAGTTATTTTCAATATAGCCCAATCCCTTGAAGTCATGTCAAGAAACATGATTTTTCAAATACATCCTGTGTGAAGGATTGGTGGGGGCGGGGAAACCTATTATTATAAATCTTTAGCCATCAAGTCCACCTCCATCAATTCAGAGGCTCTCTTTCAAAAGCATTTTCTCAGCGCCTGACTGATACAGAGTGGGAGGAGGTTAGACATGCTTTCTAATGACATATCGTAAGAAGATGGCTTATTTTTCCTTTTTTTTTTTTTTTTTT